CGAGTGAAACCTTGAAAGCTCGCGAGATCAGGATGGTCTCACGAGGCTATCCTGGTGGAAGGTGTCCAGAATATCTCCCAAGAGAGGCTTCCAGGGGGCATCCGAAAAAGATGTCCTAGCCTTCTCAGATGACTCCTCTCGATGTGGAGGAGAAGTGGCTCTACTCTGAGACTCTCCCAGATGACCCAGCTAAAGAAGTGCCCTGCCATACTGCAGAAAAAGCTCATTACAGCAGCTGTTATTCAGTTTCTCGTTCGGTCATTATCCAGCTTTCAGGACCATAGATGAGTGTAGGAACATAGACCGACCGGTAAATCGAGAGCTTTGCCTTTGCTCAGCTCTCTCTTCACTACGACAGACCAGTGCAGTCCGCATTATAGCAATAGCCAAACCGATCGGTCCATCCTTCTCCTGCAAATCACCCATTTATCGTATTGTTTTTCATTTCAGTTTTAGATTTCTAGTCATGATAACAATTTTGATTTATTGTCTTAACAATAAAACAGAATTTATTTCTTATTTACTGGTGAACATTCTCAGTCATCCAATGTTGTAGTCATTCCAAAAAAGTAAAAAAAAAGAATCCACTAGACTTTTTTTTTTTACAAGTTTGAGGACGTTTGGCTTCCCGTCCAGCAAGCTTTTTCAATTCAAAATGTCAGGGATGGCGTGGAGTTCGAGGCTTTATTGAGAGGACCAAAAACAAAACCTGGTTTTGGCTCAGAAATATGCAAATTGAACCAGATGAACGGGTCCGCCACTTCGTCGTTTGGTTTCTTTGTTAGCCTGTAATACTCCATACCTGTCTATGTCTCTGAAAGAGGGGTCTTTAAAGGGAATTGTCTTCTTTATTTTCTTCTCAATTCAAATATCAGACATTTGAATTGAGAAAGCTTTCTATTTGGACATGGCAAATTTTAAGAATTTAATTAAATGTGGTTACTACACATGCTTAATATAAATAACTTTATTCATCCTGTGTTCTCAAGATGTCTAGTTTAAATTTGTATATTTATTCAAGAGTAGTGTTTTTTATTGTGGAGCTACGATTGCTGTAGCATCTAAGAACAACTTCAAAGGGTCAATGAGGTATTTTTGTCATTGATTTTTTTTTTTTATCGACATCAGATTGCACCACAAGTATATTGTGATAAGACCTAAGGCCATATTGGCCAGCCCTAAACAGCGGGATAAACCTGCCTAGATAAATGTTCAGTAAACCATATTTATAACCTGATTTGGACCAGAACCAACCCTGCCTGATGTCTGTCTGTCCAGATGGTGATCAGCCAGCCCAGCAGCAGCAGCAGCAGCAGCCTCACAGAGCTCCAGGTCGTCAGTATGGACGTCCACCCATCCAAAGATGATTGACGGTCACATGACCCCACAGACGGCACCATCACCAGACTGCTGAGACCTGTTGACGTTTCCCGATGCTCTGGACATGTTTAATGAGAAGGAATCTTTTTTTGGTGGGACCCAGTATCAATGGACGCTTTCAAAATAAAAGCCTCTCGCTTCCTGGGAAGATTGCAGAAGAAAACGTCATTGGGATTACTAGAACTGAACATGAGCTCAACTTTATTCACACACTGCTGATGGACGACAACAAACCGTTCCAAATTAATGGATCTGGACCCAGTTGGGGCCCAGTTGAAATTAGAACTGAATCAGTGAACTGAACCGGGTCAGTCTTTGCAATCATGGACCGTCTAACTGCCTGATGTGCAGAGGCCTAATAACGGCTGAACTTAACTAGTAGCTGGTATCAGTTTCCGACCCAGTGTCCCCGTTTGGTGACAGACTCCACCTCTGCAGAACGGAGCGCCAGTCAGGATGGTTCTGATGATGAACATGTCTCTAATTCCAGCTGACCGGGTCAGACCCGTACAACTTTGTTTCTACGAAGACTGTTGGTGTTTGTATAAAAAGAAATAAAGTTTTTATTCAATCTGGAACATTCATCTTGTGCCTGGTGTATTGTAACCATGGTTACCAGAGGGAAAGAATCAACAATCTGGAGAGGTGCAACAACCAGCCCAGCCTGTCGAGCCAAAAGCACCCAAAGCGTGGTCTGCTCAGGTCCCAACAGACACTGTGTTCTGAAGCATTTGGCCAAGTTTTACCCAACTTATTTAGCTCTGTAGGTACCGATAGAGAGGTCAGGGTCACGTCTACAGCGTTTTCACTTTTCCCACGTCTCACGGATTCTCTTATTTGAAAAACAGACTTAGATTTTATGTTGTCATAAAGTGTATACAGAGATAGATTTCGCTTAGCACTGCTCTCTAGACTTTTTTTTCATTTTTTAAAGTGCAGCCTTGATAAAGGTAAGCAGCAGTGAAAAAAACACTGATGGGAAAAAAAAGTGCTGTAAACATACGACTTTATAGTTACAGTTCCAACATTCAGGTTGTTTTTTTTTATTACCCATTTTATGTAACATCTAGCAGTCTAATGGCAGTGGGGGAGAAACTGTACTGGAATCTGCTAGACCTGCATTGGATGCTTCAAAGTCTCCTTACAGAGGGCAGCAGGGAGAACGGTCCATGGCGGGGGTGTGAGGGGTCATTGACGATGTCATAGACTCGACACTGGGATGAAATATCTTTAATGGAGGGAAGAAAGAGGAGTCCCGAAGATCCTCTCTGCTGTTCTCACCACTCTTCTTACCTTCTTCCAGTCTGAGGCGCTGCAGCCTCCACACCACACAGTGAGACAGCTGGTCAGAACGCTCTCTATGGTGTTTCTTTAGAAGGTGGTGAGGATGGGTGTCTTCTACACACCTGTATGATTGCAATATTTAAGAGCTTTATCTGAAGCAAAGTTTTTTATTCATTATTTATTTATAAATGATATTACATTATATGCCAACACTTAAAAACAGGTTCCCAAAATAGAGGTCAGGACAGAGCGTCATGAAACACGAAGTGAGCTGTCGTGAAAAAAATGAATAATTGTTGTGTGATACTTGAGGTATATGGAGGCCAAAATGTGTCATGAAATACATATATGTAACTGTGCAATCAAATAAATGTATTATGAGATATGTAGATGTTGTTTACGACTTTACCAGAGCCTCATGCCATCTGAGTGCGACAGTAGGTTCTTTACTGGAGTTTTTCCACAATGTGTTGATAGCAAATATATTTAGGAGCTAACTCATGGGATGTCTCTAGATATTTCCATTTACATAGATGATCGGGCTCCTCACCCTATCTCTCAGGGAGAGCCCAGCCACCCTGCAGAAAAATCTCATTTCCACCGTTTGTATCTAGGATTTCATCTTTGGGTCATGATCCAGATTTCATGATTGTAGGAAAGTAGACCGACTGGTAAATGGAGAGCTTTTCGCTCAAAAGTTTTCACTCCCAGAGAATGCGATCTGTCAAATCCAAATAGCAAAGAATGCAATTCATAAAACATAACTGAAAATTAGAAATTTGAAAATAAATTAAATATATGAATAACAATTTTGAAAAAAAAAAAGAAAAACAAATATCTGGGAAAATAGCCAAGTAACTAACAAACCCATTTTTTTAAGTTGAAAAATATTTCAAAGTATCATTACTGGATTGCATTTTTTTTCATATTTCTATTTACAAAAGTTGTGATTTACAAAAATGATGGAACAAAGTTCACTCCATGGAGTCCTGGCTGTTTCATTTAGACCAGAGTGAATCTGAAACCTAAATATCAATCTTATAATACCGATGCTAACACATTTACCTAGTTTCCTCATCACTTCAATGGTTTCTATTATTAGGCTACTTTTCCCCTAACCTGACTCTGCCATTTCCAGATGGATTTGCTCCGCATATCCATCTGGAAACCTTCCGTTGAAGTAATTTTGGGAAGG